GAATCAAAGCCATGCTAGGGAGTACGTATTGTCAGGACGGTCACACGCACAGAAATGGGACAGTATACGGATATGTGTGTACATGTAGGGTGTAAGCCTTGCCTTAAGCGAAGGCAAGCGTGCACACATTCGCTAACATTTTAAACTCAAGGCAGGAAATAGCTTTCTACGCGTTGTCAACCCTTGCGGACCTGTGGGCCACGTGGCCGCCAACACTGAAGTGTGGCACACGACCATTCTCCCTTCTCTTTAGTCCTGACCCAGCCCCTCCACAGCCGCTCACCAGTCCTTCACCACGATGGCAGGCTGGGTGGTGTCCAGCAGCTCCTCCCAGTAGCCCTCAGCCTGCAGATCAATGACCTGCGCTTTGCGACACCACCTGGGGGAAGAGGCATCAGGATCCCGCAGACCCCTGTTTCCCCCTTCCCCCACCTTGCCCCTTCTTCTTACTCGAAGGAGGAGGCGAAGTACTTCTTAACGCTGTCATCCTGGGTAAATTCCACCCCACTGTCTCCGGGCAGTTCCTCCACCCTCCAGCCGTCCCCACCGTGCTCCACATCACACCAGCCCTCCAAGTCCTCTGTGGGGACACAACAGTCCTACTCTGGTCACAAGGCCCCTACTTGAGGCTGTGGCAGGGCTGGCTCTTGCTTTGGCAGTGGGAAGCGGAGTGAATGTGGGTACTTTCTCAAGGTCTCAGTGGGCAGAGGATGAACGATGGGACTGTAGGCACTTCTTCATTCTACCCCCGCCCGGAACCCAGTGTCCACTGGGCCTGTCCACTCGCAGTTCACTGAGAGTAGATACCCTGGGAAGGCTCCCCAGGGAGCAGAGGGTTGTTCTGGGCTGGGCATTACATCGTGTTTCATCTCATTTAACCTTGAAGTGGGCTGGCACCAAGGACCGTTTCTAGAGGGGACAATGAGCACTCCGGTGTGTGGCCCTCACCTTCCCCGCACGGGTTACGCAGCAGGTTGCGCCTGCGCTTGCTCAGAAAGTAGAACTGTTGCCAGTGGTCCCGCTCATCATCTGCGCAGCCCTCGGGCACCAGCCCCTCCTGCTGGCACTTGAGCAGCCACAGTGGGGCGCCGTCCACCAGCTCCTTCCAGTGCAGGCACACCAGGCGGCAGACCTGCACCAGCTCCGAGGCTGGCAGCTCGGCCAGCACGCGCAGCAGCAGCGGCTCGGGCAACTGGGCCAGGTACTCGACCGCCTCGGCCTCTTCCTCCTCCTCCTCCCGGGGCTGCTCCTCCTCTGCACTCGCCTCGGCTCCCGCCTCCTCTGGCTGCTCCTCTGGGCTCACCTCTTCGGGGTGGCTCCCATTCTCTGAGGACCGGGGAGTAAGGGAATGCTGTGACTCCCAAACTGCCCCCCCTCCTACTCTGAGGCAATCACGGCAGGGGGCCAGAAGTTCTTAGCCGGGACTTGCTGGCAAGGGTCTATAATCCCAGCACTTGGGAGGCACACCCAAGTTTATCTCTGTGAGTGTGAGGCCAGCCTGGTCTACACAGAGAGTTACAAGAAGGACTAGTAGTTAAATCTTGTCTCGCTGTCACACACATACACAGAGAGAGAGAGAGAGAGAGAGAGAGAGAGAGAGAGAGAGAGAGAGAGA